AAGGGCCGTCAAGTCCGTTAAGGAAGATATGAAAGTGACCCAAGCAAAGATGGAGGAGGTTTCCAAATATGTTAAAAAAGAGATGAAAGCGAGCCAAAATGGGCCATCCAGTCTGTGGAAAAAAGATGGAAGCGGATTAATGGGAAATGAAAACAGAAATTACTGCCATAATCGAATACAAATTCGTTGCACATTGGACGCGGTTGAAAACAAAGTTGGAGAAACTGAAGAAAGAGTTTCTGCTGCCGAACAACAAAGGCGGAATATCTACTTTCGAACAACAAATCGGCAAAGAGTTTCTATTCGAACAAAACAAACCGATGACAGCTTCTGCTGCCGCATAGGAAGTTGGCAGCTTAAAGAAATCGATTAGAACAGGAAACAATTTTAGTTCTTTTAAATTCCTAGCCATGTCTTCTCATCGCTCTCTAGAACTATCCACATATGACGAAAAGACCTCGTGGCAGGTGTACAAGACTCAGTTTTCTATACTTACGGACGCAAATGGACGGGGTTACCAGATTAAGGCCTGCCATCTCGCCGTTTCTGAGAACAGACGCAGTGGATATCCTCCGAACTATGCCTAAAAAGCAGCCTGGATTTTGAAGCTGTATTCGGCGCTTTGGCGAGAAGTTTTTAACGGATTATAACAGGTTTCATTTAACATGTCGCCAACAGAAGCACACCAGGAGCTCGCCACGGATGTTGAAAGGCTATCTAATGTCACTTTTTCGAACTGCCCATCAGAAGCAAAGGAAATCCTATCCCTGCAGTACCTTTTCGATGGCATGCGAGATCCTGCGAATGGTGGATGTAAAGGATTTAAAAAGCGCTTTAGTGTACGCCGTGGAATTCGAAGCGATCCGTAGAGGAAGCTACTAAGTCAGAGCTGCTCATGTCCAGAAATCACTGGATCAACTGACTACTCGTATAGACGATTTAACCACTTGCGCTAAAAAGACGTGCCACGCATGTCGAGATGCTTTTGTCTCAAACCGCGAGCGACGTGAACACCACGTCGATAGGCATTTATCGCAAAAAATGAAAATAACGTGGTGCACACGTCGCCTAACAACGAAATTGTTTATTTCTCGAGTTAAAGCTCTGGATTGCACTCGCAAACGCGGAGCAGCGTAAATGAGACACTTTACCGCTTGTTATATTGTAGCGCACGGCACCGCAACAGTGAAGATTAGTCGTAGCGCAAGTGGTTAACCAGGCATGGCAGTGCGGAATAAAACTGGCAAAAAACCGATCCCTAACTAATTCCTAATTCGTAATTCCGTTGAAGTGTGGAGGTGAAGGCCACGTACGAAGGAACTGTAGAACTCCCCCAAGGCACGAGATTTAAGACTGCTCTCTGCATAGAAGATTGAGACTAATTAGTGACCATCTCACGGGACGGATTTTTCAAGCGATTGAGAAACCCTATTTTTTAAAGCGCTTCAAATTTCTGCAATGAGTGGCAGTAATGAATTCTTCACCGTGGGACGTATAAATGGAGTGTCTTGCAATATAATTATTGATATAGGAGCTAATGTTACCATCATCCAAAACGATTTGGCTCAACAATTCGAAGGTAAACTCATTTGGATGACGCCTTGCGTTACACTGCAGATTGTGCCCAGGGATAAAATCAACATCGTGGAAAATTGTACGTAAACACCAATTTTGGAAGTGCCGCCTACCATCGCACGGTGCAGCAAATATTACAGACGCTTGCATACTTGGATTAGAAGGAAATACAATCTTTCCTTTGACTTTAAAAGTAATAAACTGCATTTTACCTCTAAGGACATAACAATGTTCCGAGTTAAAGATAAAGCAGTTAAATCCGTCCACCGAATAATAGCTCAGTACGATATCACGGTACCAGCAAGATCAGAATTTTTATTTTCTGGATCCATAGCTAAAACCAGAAAATTTCGGTACGGCATAGTAGAGTATCTTAAGAACTATAACAACCTCAAATGAGTACTAGTAGCCTCGGCACTCGTTGACCTATCAAAGACCGTCATCCCGGTGAGAATTGTCAACGTGAGTGATAGCGAAAGTCATTAGGAAAGGCAAAGAGCTTACAGCATCCATTGACCTGCGTTTAGTCCTCCAAAGTCTGTGTCTTCGGAAAACCTAACATCGGAGTTACTGCAGAATGCACATTTAAGCGATGAAGAGAGGAGTGCTGGCGAACGTGACATTCAAGAATTCCAAGATTTATTTTCTGGCATATCTTGTGACATAGGCCCAACCAGTTTCGCTTAGCATAAAATTGACACGGACGATCATCCACTAATCAAGCCACATCCAAGACGTCTACCGATTGCTAAACAGGAAGAGGTACGAAAACCTCTAAAGGAAATGCAAAAAAGAAAGAGAATTTATCGAGCAAGTCATTGGACCTCTCCCATAGTCAGAAACATGGTTCGACTAGATTTTGCATTCAAATCGCCGCTTGAACAGGGTTACGAAGATAGACAGCTACCCTTTTCCTAGAACTGACGATATTTTGAATACTTTTTCTGGAAGCAAGTGGTTTTCGACACTTGGTTTAAAGCCCAAGGAGTTGCTCGCCATAATTTATAATAAGGAAGCAGCAGAACATTTCCATCGTGATTTTTGCGACAAAAAATTCCTGTTTCGTACATGTCATGCATCGGGAGACTCCAGGAGTATGACCTAATTATTCGACATAAGAAAGGATCGTTAATGAAAACGTCGACGCCCTGTCTAGAAAACCCTGCCCAGAAAGCTACCGATAGTGTTCCAAAGTCGAAGCGAAATACGAGCTGGGTAATGCAGAAGCAGGTAAAATTGCAGATTCAACATCGTCTGACCCAGACCTGTGGAGTGACTAAGAAGTCAAGAAAGGGGGGCTACATTGAACCCATAATTGACTTAATGGAATCTTCAAATAGGAAACCTAACTGACATTTCGATCTATATTCGTAAGATAAAACAATATTGGGTTCTCTGAGACTCGCTGTGTAAGATCTGTCTCTGCTATTCCATATAAATTAAATTAGATCCTACAATGAAACTGGCGAATTCTCGCACAGGCGTGAATTAATTACCATCGCAGAAGAAGGCTGAAAATAGCCCTTTATTAATTCAAATAAGAACAGAAAGGCATGATCTTCGTGCTTTACACCGTCAAATAGCGGTGAAACTTAAACGTAGAATATAAATCAATTCAAAGTCTAGTTAAAATAGTGCTGGATTAGCACTTTAAGTTATTGTCTACCAGGTTGACTCAACAAAAACTTAACAGGCCTGATGATAATCCGAAATGGCTAAGGAGCTTATTAGCGTAACAGCGAGATAGTAACGAAACGTGTGCTGGCTAGCGAAAACATGCACTGAATAAACTCAGAGATCCACCCGTTTAAATACTCACTTCACTGAACTTTAAAATTTACATCCTGGCGAGAAAATGCGAGGGGAAGTTGAGGAGTTCAGGAAAGGTATCAAACTTAAAATAAATTTGTTATGCAAAATAAAGGAAACCCTACAACTGCATATTCGAAACGTTGTCTTGTACCGACAGTTCGAATCGGATGATGGAAAAGCATTCCGATTGCAGTTGATTCTTCTAAGATCCTGGACGTCATTAAAGAATTACATAACAGCCCGAAAGGAGGCCAATTGGGGAAAATGAAGACTTTGTATAGAGTCCGAAAGCGCTTCTATTGGAGTAATGCAAGAGCTGCCGTCTGAAAGTGGTGCCTATCTTCGATGCATGTGCAGGCCGGAAAGGGCAGAAGCAGGGGGAGTCAGCTGGGGGAATCTGCAACGTTACAATGTAGGAGCGCCTTTTGAACGCATCGTCTTCGACAAGCTGGGATCCCTTCCAAACCGCTGATCGCAACAAATACATCCTCATTGTCACTGATTTCTTTGTACTAAAATTTTGTGAAGATAGCATTTATCGTTTAATTCTGTGGGTGTTCCCAAAGTGGGCAGACTGTTTGAATAGAGCTTCGAAACGAGTGCTGAAACCAGCATTGTTGTCAATGAACTGACCGATGAGATGCGGAGAAACAAAGAATACAGACTGTCCAGTTGTCCTAGATTATCGGTGAGCCCGGTCTGGGCACACCTAGGGTTGGCCGTTTGATTTTAAGCAAGATTTCAAGGTAAAAATTTAAAGCTGATATAGAATAAGGAGATTAGCATACAGCCAAAAAAAATAACATAGAAATTTCTTTCAAACAATTCCTTTTATACCCTAAAAAAATCTGGAAGATTTCTTTGAAAAATGAGGGTCTTAAAAGACTAAACATGGCTACAATATATGGACTGGTTTGTGTTGAGCTGCCTGCCTATATGGACTGGTTTGTGAGAGCTGTTGTGTTGTACTATAAATAAAGAAGGTTCAGAGTAACCTATAAATCCTTTTTCATTCAATTTGTCTGTGCGTACAGAAGGAAATTTTTAGGTGTGTCCAGGCCGGACACACTGTGCCGCAAAGGGTTAGCCTGATCTTTCAACAACAGAACGAAATAAAAAAGGTGTTTTCTACAGCCATCTGCGTGGCGTTCCTTTTAAAATTAAACAAGACACAGTATTGTTTCTTAATATAACTTTTAGATACAGAAGTTTATTTTAAAAGCAGTTATATTCTGTGAAGTAGTGTTCAAATTTTTCTACATTTATATCAAAAGAATCCCATGGTTATATTTCCTTCCTGCTTTACAGAATGCAATATACCATAGTGGTTTTAATAGCTTTGACCAGAAAGTCACGGAACGTGCTTTGTTGTACATAGTGGGGAACAGTGATATTAGGTTTGCAAAATAGAAAGAGAATGCTTATATTATACTTAACTTTTGCTAAAGTAAATTTACACCACATTTTAGGAAAGTGTAGTTTTTATATTATCCTCATTAATTTATAAATATCTTTCTGTATGCATAACAACAATCATCATGTATGAGCGTGCATTTTCACACCTATTTCCTATTAGTGAGAAAAAGTGCTACAGAAAATAATGAATGCCTGTCCCTGTGATGGAAATGATTTTACTTTCTTTCATTACCTTTTTCTATTTACATTCTAAAAGAAGGTATACCTTATGATTCAGGACGTATGAAGCCAGCGGTTCCAGAGCTTACGGGGCACCTATAAATATCATCTTGAAACTGGGGCTATGAACATTTGGTTACAATTTTGCTTCGTGGGATATTATTTCATTCTTCTATCACAATATATATGTTTATACATGCGCATTTATTATCACAATGCATTACAATGCTTGTTATCAGTCTTCACTGAGAATTTTATTCAACATAGTGAAAGTCAAGTTTTGAAGTTACTTTTTGAAGTCTAATGTTTTAAGTACTTTGAGTTACCTTCCTTTATAAAGCCCAGTTTCGTATGATGATTTTATGTATCTTCGGGGAGAGACCGAGACCGAATTTTGTTTACATAAGAAGATGAAGCTTTTGACGGCATAGTTTCTGACATAGTATGTGTTGCCTTGTTTTTTCGGTAATTTATGTGAGTCTTCTTAGAATTTGAGAATCCTGTCCTTGATTGGGGTAAGACTCTCCCATTTTCCTTCGACGAAATCATATTTGCTTGCGTTTCTGTACTTCGTGAGGTGGAAATTGGCAAATTTGAAGTAGTCCCTCCTAAACTATTCATACTAGTCCTTGTTGAGGTTTTGCTGTGCAAGCGATTGCTGGATGTCTGGTTTAAGTACTATAAGGAAGAAAGAAATCGTTAAGTACCATTGGTTTCAAAACTTAATGATACTTTAAAACACGGTAGATATATAAACACATATATTATATTTTACATATTTTCTTTACCAAGAACAGATATTATTAAGTAAATGAAACTAACACGTGCATTATAAAATTAATTGTGCCCTTCTTTCCTGCAAGATTACTCATTAAGTTAAATTTTGATAAGCAGATGGCTTAGTGCCTTCATAAATAGCTTAAAGTACAGCTCTTTGGCGTACCTTTAACATGTCACAGTCCAAGCCATGAGCATTTGTTCTAACTTATACTGCGTGTGTTGATAAAATTATGGTGTAGGGTTTATATTTATTTTAACTAACATTTATTTTAAGTTTAAACTATCTTTCCTGTCAAGCCTTACTTTCCCCTGGAATTGCCAATGCCAGAGTATGTAAATTTTAGTAGAACGCGCAAGGATTCAAATTGTCAGCGGAAGTAATCTGAGTTAAATAGAAGGGAAACGAGTTTCGAAGGTGTGCTTCTTGCTTCACGAGCGTGGAGGTGGCTAATTAGAAATTGAAGAACCACGCGTTTCGGCCTGTGTGCTTGCCTCAGTAGATATTAAATCTTTCAACGTAATATTCAGAAGTTTGCTGAATTGTCAGCGGTATCTTAGAACGCGGTTAGGTTAGTTACGTTTAGAGAGCCTTGTAGTTAGTCACTTGTTATTATTCTTTTTTTTAGTTTCTTATTTTTATTTTACCGCCGGGTCGGCGTAGTTTGTGAGCGTCAAGAGCACGCATCTGTAATTTCTAAAGTTGAATAAAAAGGTATTTAAACCCTTCTCAAGACTTTCCAGTTCATAGCAGTCACCACTATTGTTGCGTGCAGGTTGGAAGCGCGCAACATTACAATGGATCTGTTTAGAAATGTTCTTATCCGTTTAGCGGCTAGGAAAATTTCGCACAGATGCAAGTTTATTTCAACCCAGTTTGGCAAAATCATACCTTGCAAAAAACTAACAAAACTGCAACATCGGACTCAATCAGTGTATTGAAAAGCAACACTTTGGAATAAAACAGAGTTGTTTCCTATTATTTAGGTAGATAAATATAACACTACACAGTCGAGTTTAGTTCAGGCTCTGAATTAAAAGGCAGAATGTAATAAATGTCTGTTGATTAAATTACAGGGTCCTTCCGTACTCAGTTGTGCATTCAAAGCAAGCTGTCCAAATATTAATATACCTCCAGATGCAAATACGTCTGAAATATTTTAAGCTTTTAATTTGTAATTTTGTAAATTACTTCGCCAAATCCTTAATTTTGCCTCTGCGTGCTAAGATTTTCTAAACCCTGAAACAGATCTGACGTCAAAAAATCTGTTAAATAATAATGATAAAGTGTTTTCCCATTAGCCTGAAATGGATTATTTAATTAAGTAAAGTACACGAGAACTATTCGCTTAGCTTCATACAGTTCTTATCAGAAAATAAAGATTAACCAAACCATTTGGAAGTTGAGTAAGCTTTCACGAAGTTAAGATGTTAAACAGAAGTATGTTTTAAAGCACATAATTTTTAGAAAGTAGTTAAAACTAAAAATTCAACTATAAGCCTGAAGTGCGAATTTCACATTCTAAGCTCATTTCTTGAAGTGAAATATTTCTTTCTAATTTTTGAGTTTTTAAAAGACTTTCTCCTTATAAATTTATGTATTATGCTCATATGCTACACTTCAAAACTGTGCAATGAACCCTCCCCGAGGACAAAAAAGAGAGAAAGAGAGTTAAGTTTAATTTTTGTTTCACTGTTTTGCAATAAAGAGAATACTAGAGGGATTTATAACAAAAAATTTAAAAACATAAAATTCTAATTACTTTTCTCCTATCTTGTTTGCTTCCTTTACATGAACACCAACTGTTGACTTTATCGTTCAAGAGAACATGAAAGAAGAAAATGAACACACCCTGTAAGATATTCAAATATATGTAAATATAGATACTGAAATTTATTAGTTATAATGAATTCACAAAATGAAGAAAAATATGTAAGTACACATCACACACTTGCTTTCCTCCAAAAAACAGCGGTGAAATTTGAGGAAATTACGATACAAATAATGCCATATTTTATTTTTAATGGGAATTTTTGAATATTAAGGTAAAGCGCAAAACTATCTTCAAAAATTGTTACATCAAATACATGCTTATTTTCAAGCAAAAATATTTAAATCTCATTTCGAAAATAATGATTCATTCTTTCGGTACTTATGTATTATCCTTTTATTCCATCGACCCTTAAACAGTCACCAAGCGGCGCGGTTTAGAACTAATTATGGATATGCGTAACGTAACAGAACACACAAATCATCTGCGCTTTTGTTTGATGTAACCCCGATTGATTATTGGTAAACCATCTTTTGTTTTTATGAACAAATACATATATTAGCTGTTTTTGCTGCCTATTTTTCTAGCATTAAAAAAAAACAACTACTAAGAGCTGAGACATGCTCTTCTACAGAATAAGAAGCAGCGGATTATTTTCAAAGTTAGGCTATACTACCATAAAAAAAGTATGTATTAATCGACACGGTATGGTCAGCTGCATATAGCCGACAAAACGGTAGTAGATTGGACCACTTACTTGCGAGAAGTTTGTACTCATAGCGTTCTAAACAGAGCTTTCGGTAAAATATGAGAGTCTTGCAGAGTAGTAAAAATCGACGAAAGCCTTTTTAAGAAGCGCAAAAACAAAGCGAGTCGAATACAGATTGCCTGTTAAATAAAGAGGCGGCCTTTCCTTCGTAACTGTGCAGAAATGCACAATTACGAGCTTCGTAATGTGCAGAAATGACGTGCAACTATGACAGGATCTTCACTAACTTTCATAGTTCGATGGCAGTCAACCTTTATTGTCAACGGAATAATACACAAGTACGATTCGTTCTTCCCTTCCTCCGCAAAAGAGGTTACTTAGATATGAATAAAAGTTACTCATGTAGTTATAACGATGCAACTATTTCAGCGTTATATCCATTATCACGTGCCATAGATTTAAACGCCCACCAGTGGCCGAGCGCTACAGTCACTGAACACTGGTAGTTCAGTCCGTGGTTCGAATCTCGTTAATGGGCTGGTTGCATGGGTGTTGTCGTGGTTTTCCCCCTGTGTAACGTGTATACGAGCCAGTTTTCCTTAAAAAGTCCTCCATGAAGGCATCCCTCCCCTTATGCTGATAGCCTTCGAGGCTTTGCCGTAATAACATAAACCAAACCAAAGCATAAACTTAAACACAGTTCTATACCCTATCCACTTAAACAACAATTGTTTCAAAATGTACCAATGTTTTGCGGTATTTGGAAACTGCTAAACAAAGTTAGGTTCTTTTACTTAGTTCCAGCAAAGCACGCGAAGAAGTTTGTTTGATCATGAGGTTCCCAATCTTTTTGGACCAGTACCCTCTTTAGAAGAAAAAGAAAAAAAAAAAAATTCTAACTCTCTTTTTTCCATAATACTTACGTTTACCAAATATTAAAATATCGTTGAATATTATCTATACTAATTTTATCTGTATATCTATAGTATATTAAGAGTCGCAAAGCCGAAATTAATTAAACCGACCATCACATGTAGTAAAACGTTGCTTATTAAAAATTTTCAAATAAACACAAAATCAATAAGAAGTTTAAAGAAATAATGAGATGCTTGAGGCTGGTGGAATTTTAACAATTTGTTAATACCGGGTTCCAATTTCATTAACATTAGTCAGAAATTGTCACGTTCAGTGATTTGCAGTCTATTCCTTTTCTTAGACAATAAATTAGCATGCGCAGTCCTCTAGCCTCTAGTCACGTCATGGCTGTTTTCGCCCTGCTACACAAATCCAAAAGACACGTTTCTTATTGTCTGACTTGGTTTCGCGGCCCCTTCCCGTCAATCACTTATTGTACTGGCTTGAATCTGTACCTTGGAAGTCTCGGCATCGGAGGATAACAGTTATGAGCTTTGTGGTTCCAGAACCCAAAGGAAGATCGTTTTATGCAATTAAACCAACGGGAATTAGCGAAGACTCTGAATCTGTGAGGAAAAAGGTAATGACTGTGCACTCTGTAAGGCGGCTAGCCCACCAGAGGCTGTGGAGGAACCTCCGGTGTGAAAGAGATAATACGTAACTCTATACTTCGTTTGATTTGGTTGGTCCATAGTGGATGGGTCCTCACCCGCGCAGTACTAGTAGGAGCATTTTGAAGACCGGTCAAACTTCCATGGTTTGTATATACGTATAACGGATGAAAGCTTAATATCATGTTAAAATTACTAAGAATAACAAAATCATATTAACAATTCAATATTAACTGCGTAGAATCCGTATTTAGTTAGCATTTAAAGGGTAAGTATATTTGTCTACATTATTGCAAGGATGCAGTTCTACTAGCAGCAAGAGTCTTTCCAATTGAGTGTCTCCGAGGGTACTGTTGTATTCGCTCAATTGGGTACATTTCGCAGATTGAATCAAACACGCTTTGCTATGTTTTATATGCCATGATTCTTTTTGTTTGACGAAAATATCAGAGGATTTGCAGAATCATTGGTCGATGAACCTGCTGAAATTGAGAGGGTATTAGCAGTGCCAATCGCTAAAATCCTTTGATACCAGTCGTGAAATCATGACTTTTGCAATAGCAAGTTACTGCTTTTGTAATGTCACAGCATGCTGTCTTACACCTCTCAATGATTCGACTGTCTCCTGCCGGCCTCTAGATTTCGAATTGAAAGGGGACTGCACAAGAATTTCTTATTTTCCCACAGTTTGTTGCATTACGTTGGCGTAGTAGATGCTGTTGTGCCGCAGCTTGTTTTAGATCTTCCCCGTCTCATGATCCCATATGGAGAGCTGACTTTTCTGGGAGGTGAGCAAATCTACAAATTCATCAATTAATGCGAATTAAGTGAATGTAATAAAAACTAGGAATAATTATATATTAGTTGCTTTTTGTTATACGTTCTTGTTAAAGAATCTTGACTTACTAAAACGCCAACTTTCTCTCGGTTCCTCCATGCTGCTTTTTTGGAATTACTGTTTCAGGGTATATTCAATGCTGGTAATGATTTTTTATATATTATTGTCTTAATTATTATGAAAAAATTGTTATTTTTAAAGCAGTTTAAAATCATCTATAAATGGATTTAGAAAAGCTGTAGATTGAGATATGTGTATTGGTTGCTTCAAGACCTACGATATATCACAACCGTTAATTCGCTTTGTTTTGCATTTCTTATTTATGGGAATTTCTCCCCTTGCTTTACATACGGTGTATGTAAAATTGATTTAATAATTTTGCAAAGATAATTTTTTGCTTACCTTTACATGCATATACGCACACATATATACTTACATATAGGGGCATTCTAGAAAAAATGTGATAAAATTATGTGAAAATTCGGGCGGTTAGAAAAAACAAAATGCTTTTGCAATGGCTTAGGGACACAGCTTTGTTCAGGAGATACAGATTTCAAAGTCTTGTGATATCATTTCTGGCTGTCTAGGTGAATTATATTATTATTAACTTATTATATTTTTTTCCGTGTTTGCACATCTCAGGATTTGAAACCCGTTGGCTTCATTTTATGGCACCATGTGAAACCAACTGTGTAACAAAATCCCTTGAAGACTACAAAAAAAGTGATTACCCATATTCAGCTAGCCTTCGCCAATATTCGAGATGGACGTCAAGCATGTTTAACATATTAGACAGTCTGTAAATCAAAGATGAAACGCCACTCATACTGAAGTCAATAGTCTGCGATTTGAGCACTTACTGTAAGATACATAATGTGTAATATTGAAGGCCCGTGACTACATCGTATTTGAAACCCATATACTGAAACCCCTTTATTTGTCTAGCCGAAAGTTCTGGTCATGCATATGGCTTTAGCGAAGTGGAGTACTGCAGTCATTCCAAAGTCACTTTGTTTCTTCAAAAATCCTGAATTCGCCCCGTAACTGTTTTCATTTTGATTATGGCGACACAAAGGTATCCGCCAAGGGAAGAGATGCTTTCATGGATATCTTTTTAAGAGAAACTGGCTAGTAGCCACATTACATATGATTAAAACCACGAAAAATCTTCCATGCAGCCAGCCCGTTTGCCGAGATTTTAAACCAGATGCAACTACCACTATTCAGAGACTTTCCTCCTCGGCCACTGGTGTACTATGTAATGCTGTCGCCCGTTGTTGAAATATCCAAGTGCACATACACACATCTGCATGCGTTCGTATGTTTGTGTATATGTATATTATATAATGAAGTGAGCTTTCAGATGAGGACTAGTGATTAAAAGTGACTACTATTTCGGAGAGCGTAAATAAATATCACAGTGATAATTATATCATTCTTCTCTAAGAAGAGAACGCCTAACACGACCCGAATAAAATATATTTATTCGGGAGCAGCAAAAAGTCTTAACTTTGGCATAAGCCTGAAACATTTTAAGACACAATACAAATGAAGAAACGTATCGCAGCTTTTTTTCTTTGTACTTAGTTGGGAAACGGTTTTTATACATTTCTGAAACATATATTTTATCCATATCTTAGAGCAGTAATTTATCTTTTAGGTTCATTTTTATCGTAATTGATTTAAAATGATTTATTACATTTTTTAAGTCAGTTAGCCTCAGTATGCCTTACCGTTATAATGTAATAAATTTATGGTCTGTGCAGACTCATGTAATACATTGGTTCCAATATTAATGACATACTATGACTTCAAAACCATTTACAGCATTGATAGACGAGTCTTTGGTATTGCTCAGTGTTCACTGAATCACTGACATTCAAATGCATATTATACTAAATAAGTGAAACAAAGGGTAACAGTGTCAATGAGAAAAAAAAACCCGTTGTTGTTAATAATAAATCCGTTAGGACGAAAATGTTAAAAAAAAAAGTGTCAGTATTTCTTAGCTGAAATTGAAATGTGAAAATCGAAAATCCTGGATGATGGGAGTAATTTCTTATAAGTTCCCAGCTCTATTAAACAAGCTAACACCATTAGGTCGCATCAATTTGGAGAGCATTGCAACATTTCACCGATATATAGGGGAATGTGGGGAATGTTTGTTTTCTCTTAACACTTAGCTTTATTGTATTCAGCAAATGACTATTACTATATGATGGAATTGTTTCTGTATAACAGCAAGTGTTTGAATATAACATAGTTATCTTTAAACACTTGCTTTAACTCTTTAAACACTTAGAGAATACACAAAAGAAATGCAAAATTATTACCTGTAGTCCATTTAATATAGTAAAGATATATGAGAAAAAGTGCAGCTTCTTGTCTATGTAAAATAATCCCACGCACCACGTCAAGCCCAATAGACACATAACAGACATAGATCCTCTTACCCAGCTTCTGAAACAAGAAAACTGTTATTATTAAATAAATAATTATATGCCTTTGAAAATCTAATAAAAAAGATAAAGTAAAAATACAAAGCAGTGCATACCAATAAATAAATTTTATTTCGCTGTGCTCTTAAAACTATTACATCGACGTGAAACTTTCTATAAGGATACAAAAAGAAAAATTATGCAGTGAACCCTTAGAAAACCGAAGCATTCGCTAACCTGTATGTTTGAAATATCGAAACGTCTGAAAAGCCTTTCGATATTCACAAGCAATTTCCTCTCCTCCCCTTACCATTAACGTACAAAGAGGTGTGAAGATTTTAAATGTCACGCGCAACCTAAAGATAAGAAATCACAAACAAATCCTTTTAGGACAAGCTGTCTGCAATAAACTCATACAATGCCGTTTGGGAAAACTGCACCTGCTACTGCATACCTTAGGAGGAGGGAAGAAAACAACACCGCAATCTCGGCCACTTCGGGTGGTTGTGGTCGTTTGAATGAAAGCCTGTCTCTCATGTTTTGGCCTTCAAAGAGTTAAATCAGGTAGAACTACACGACTTGAAGATTCGTAACATACAACTTATCGGTGTTATTTTCAGATAAAGGAACAGACGGATTTCGAGACGAATGGCGCACCATCCTTGCCACTCGACTGAATACTCTGTGTAGTTTGTCTGTCGAAATATATTAAAATATTTATTCAGAATTTGAAAAACGTTATTAAATTTTTACAGCAATTGATAAACTGCTACCTACATTCATATTTTATAATTTTTAGATGGGTGCAGGGTGCAATTGTATCCATGTATTACACATGAATGTTTGAATTAAATTGCAACAATGGTATTCAATGCAAGCAGTATTTTAATTGTAATAATAAAATTGCTTTCATTCAAAACCTCTCATAACCTTGAATTGCCTATTATGAAATTCTGAGCTTTAATTACTGAGGAGTAGAGTTACATATACTAACTTGCTGAGTAAAATTGCATGCATATGGGCGTAAATTACTCCCGGACTTAAATTCTGATTCTTCATTTATTCCCTTCGCTACTGTTATTTTTTTTTATCACACTTAAAAATATTTTTATAGCATGAATGTGTCCTGTACTCTCATAAAATCTATTTATTCTTTCAATGGATTACAAAAGGTGCTTAACATTCTTATTTTATGTGGTAGTTTTTTATTGATAGTAAAAGAAAGAAAATACACCTTTAATCTCTCAAAGAAAATATTCATTTAATGCCTTTTATTTTAATGCAAAAAAGTTCGTCTTTCGTATTACACTTTTACATTAAATTTACAATCTGTCTCTTTTTTCAAATAAAAGTACAAGATTTAGACAAAGAATTAGGCTTTTACACAGAGTCTAGAAATTTTCAATCTTGTCGACTTAACTTTTAGTCTCGTAATTGTACTTCTTGCCTTCATATTTTTAATTTAAAAATGTCTAAATAATATTAAAGGTAGTAACGTTTAGTTTTCCTTTGATGGTAATTTTATTACAGCAGATAATTTAGACGAAGTGAAGGAAATTCTAGAAAAGGATTTTGACATGCTAAAATATTTTTATAGTCGATAAACTGCAATCATTGTAACTTTAAAACAGCTTCCTCAGCTTTTAATATCGCAAAAGATGATTTTTCTCCTACAAAGGTTATACCTTTATAAGTTTCCGAATTCAGACGGTGGTTAGGGAAGAGTGACTGCGATCCGATGGGTTCGGGTTCGAATCCCGGAGAAGGCATGGATGTAAAATTGTCTTTCCCTACATAGGAGGTAAGGAGGTAAGGATGATCGTCTATTAGTTGCTTTCACAATAAAATGGCCACCACTTCTGGCCTTAGGAGTGGCTAGAAAGTTATAGGTAAGTGCCCGCCATTGGAAAAAAAAAATGTTTCCGAGTTACCTAGTATAAAAAATGTGAAAAGGTTCAGGCATTTTGTGGTATGATTGTTGAGTGTTGCTGGTATTTTTTGGCCGACTTCCCATATTCACTTTGCTCCTTCTTTTCGTCTGTTTAAAATCACTTCAAACTTTTATGAATTCCATGGAATTCATTTCTTTTAAGGCTATCAAACAACATCATGACATTTCTTTACAGGTGAAGCGAAAGACTTCGTTGAGGGAGAAATTTTCTAGCTGTCAGGGATATGGCGAAAAATCATCAAATTAAATGGCGCTTCTCTTATCTTTTTTTTTTTTTTTTTTTTTTTTTTTTAATCGAAGGAAGTTGCTCCTACTTGGTCGTAAAACTCCGTCGATCTAAGGTCTCGTATCCCCTTGGCCGAAAAGCGTACCACTTAAGAGGTCGCTCTAGGGCGGGAGAGACGATGCTAAAAAAAGAGGACATGAAATATATATATGATATACAAAATTTGTTATTTATTGTTTCAGTATTGATTCATAAACGCTTACTGTCAGAGTGTCACAGTGTTGTTCAGATGACCTAATATATGTTGGGACGAAAGAACTTCATCTTTTCGATTTCATATTTGTCTCGAGAGTGAAAATCGATAGTGATTTCTTCGTTTATTCAATTTTAAAATCCCTCTCTCTCTCTTCAAAAAATTTTCATTTGTTGAAAACTTGTTTTATGCTTGTTTGAAGCGTTGGTAGTTTGCTTTATGTGAAAATATAGCTCTCAGCAGGTGCAAAAACGTGCAACAAAACGTAAAATATAGAAAATAAACACGTTAAATATATAAATTTTAATCATGTTTGCATTTATTATTTTTCTACTATAATATATGTTTCTCAACATTTCATGCTCGTATATATTTTACCAACCTTAATCGGAAACTCAATGGGAAAAAAAGAAAAAAAAAAAAAAAAAAGTTTAAGAAGTGATGTTCAAGAAAGCTCAATTTCACTGTGTGAAAATATTTTATATTTATGTTAGATATGAAATTTCTAATAGCGTATTTCTATTATTTTTTTATGAATTATTTGTGAATAAACTCAGTTATTAATAAAAATTTATATGACTGGATGCTATCAGTGTGCTGTCTAGGGCGCACCATTTAGGGTAGAATGGGAGCACATGTGATAAAGCCTCGTTAATGCATTCTCAGAGAAATCTTTTGATGAAATTCAAATTTCTGTTGCCGTAATTCAAATGAATGTGGGTAATCACCAGGACAGAAATTTTCAGGCAGCTGTTTTAGATACAAATATATTGCTGCATTACATTATAAATAGTACATTTATATTTTGCATTATAACATAACATATATATTAACTTTTGAATAAAAAGAAGCTGAAAGTATTCATTAAAAAAGTAGAAAACACTAGTTTTTGGGCTTACCAATTCAATTTTAGTTGAGTTAATTACTAACTTACCGTTCTTATTAAACGTAACATCGGTTAAGAAGTGTTTTGTTACATTACATACTTATTTTCGATGCTATGCTGTATCATTTTAACTTAGATATTATCAATAGAGATACCAAAACTAAGACTAAGTCCGTGTATAAAAATAAACACTTATGAGATGTACTTTTAAAATATTGTAACAAAAAGTAATTATGTAGTGTCATTAAGTTATTTTGAAGCGAGAGATATGAAAAATGTGCAATGTTCTCACCGGAACTAACTCGAACCTTGACCTCTCGAGTACGCGCCGAGTGTGCTAACTGTTACACCAGGAAGGAAGGAGAAAATACCTTATAAGTATATCTTTCTATACATATTGAATTATATTATAAGTATCTTTATTAGAATAAATATGATTATGTTTTTAGCACATTTATTTTGAACATTTAACAACGTACATTTTAGTACATAATTTCTTGTTTCTATAAATCAATTTCTAATGCATTCAAACTAAAAAGGTTGATTCAATGATATGTTAAGTTTTTGAAATCAGCGTTAATGCTGTTTTCATGTAGCAGTGCTAGACAGAAAGGGGGAAAATTAATAAATAAAGAACAAAAAATTTCAACTGGTTTGCACTGTTTGAAATAAGACAGGAAAAATTGGTGAAAATTTATGAGAAATAAATAACAGAAATAATGAATAAAAAATCTCTTACTTTATTTTTTTCAATGTTGATTGCTCCCGCTTAATTCTCACACTTGATGCTGACCTTAGAGTCAATATAAATACTATTATATTCACCTAAAATTAAAAGTTTTAAAAATGGCATTTATACATATTCCAAATAAATTAGTATACTTATCTTGACTGAATATTTGAAATTTAATTGATTGCTTGTTTTAAATAAAACATTTTAGTTTATCATACAATATTTATCTTACCCAAAGAGAGAGTACTCACTGAAATAATGGCACAGGCTGGACCAGCAAAACTCCACATCAGTCCGTTATTTGATGACAGCCAGCAACTAAGAAATCATTGAAATTAATGAAGTTACAATTTAACTTCTTTCATCTATAATATAGCTGATTTTAATGTCTTTTTACTTTTCGGGCAATCTAAAAATTCTTAGCAAAATTAAAGTACCTTTTGTTGACTAGATCTTTACTTGTTACTAGTAAGTTAACTAGTTTGCTACTAGTCTGGAAATGTGAAGGGACTATTCGCTAAGTTCAACTGTATCAATAACAACACGTGGAAAGGGTGAAAAAAACCCTTTTATTCAACTCAAGAAAAGTATTTACATTCGGCACTCCTGGTGCTAGTTCTACGCTTATACTTTTGGCGGCATCTAAAAACGAAAATGTAAAATTAAAACTAATTCTAAGTGTAATAATCACCCAAAGTTGCACAGAGATGTTTTAAAGCGTTGTTGGCTCTTGACCCTACCATCAAAGTAGACTAACAGGCAATCAATATGCTCGGTCGTAAAACAGCAAGCTTAAATAGCAGAGAAACAACGTGGCCAAAAGGCAGAACACGTTCTGACTGAAGTAACTACTTTCTACCCTACTTTGCATAACATGCGAAACTGGCAAGAAAGCGTGGGTTGAAAGCAAGGAGCAATAAGAAAGGTTGCTTCAAAATAAAATTAACTGTTAAATAAATTATATAAATCCCCACACAGTTTCCTAATTTCCATTATTCCATTTACACAGTTTCCTAAGTTTAAAATAGGTTACTGTAAAGCACATGAGGGTTATTTGCCTAAGCTGAGGGATGATTTCGTGGAGTACTTTCTAAGGCAAACTAGTTCGTATTCACGTTATACGTAGAAAAAACTACAAAAACCAACTATACATCCAGCTCGTTCTTCTGGAATCGTAGCCGGTTCGAAATCCTACCATTAATCGGTTTTAGCCATTCGACATTAGCATTGTGGGGCCGAAAAATTTAAAATAACCTAACTGCAGTTATAAACAGAGAAGAAGCTATGTGAAAATTATCGTAGTTAAATGAAAAATATTTCTATGTCCTTCAGAATACTATTAAATATTTTTGTATGATATCTTAAGCCTTGATTATATGAAAATGATCACAATAAAAAAACATACTAATCTTTTCTAGCGTAGTCATTAGACCTCACGGCTGCCGAAATGCTGACCACAATTGCAGATGTTCCTAGAGAAAAAAAAAAAAAAAAAAAAAACCCGCAGATAATTAGTCAAACTATAAAAATTATCATACATTTATCGCATCCAAACAAGATTTTCCCTGAACTCCGAAGAAAGTTTAAAGAAAGTTTTAATTCATACTGGGGGGGGGGAGATCTGTGCTGCTTTTAAAGTGGAAAGTAAAAGCAAATTACTTTAGATTTATCTAAATTATGTTTAATTTGATCGAAAATGGCTGTTGTTTTATTTGTTTAAATTGCTATATTTTTATTTGCAGATAAAATATTAAAACCTGATGCAGTTCTAGTTCATCATTATTTTATCCAAATGCATAAGAACGATTTATCTCCGACGATGTTATATTGAATAAATTGAGTCTAAATTATCAGTTTAATTTGAAAAACATAGGGAAAAATCAGTTTGATGAACTGAGATAATTATATATCAATAAAGAATATTTCTCTAAAATTAACCTCTAAATATAAAACAAATAAGAATTTTCATGCACTTGAAAATCAACTACAATTTTTTCACGGCTGATGAGTGATTAATTTGTGATTACAAGCTGATTAGAATGACTCAGCTTAATTTTCTCCAACTTAATGCACAAATTTTCCTACCTCAAATTACAAGTTTACATAGTTCAGAATTATGAAATGTTAAAGATAACTGCTAGCAAAAATCAACGTAAAATGTGTGAATTCGCAGCACTATATTTCGAAAGTTAAACAGAACCTTCTGCATCAGCTGCAAGAGTGAAAATGACGACTAAGAAGTTTTTCCTCACAAAAAATCCAGATATTTCCAGCAAAAGGAGACAATAAAATCCACTAGTGCCATCTATTGACAAAAGTGTCAATGAGAAGCAACAATAAAACAAATTCTTGAAAATTTGAAGGTAAAAAAGGATTAGAATTGGGATCATTATCCAAAACTGAAAGATTTTAATGAATGTGAAACGTCTCTAGGAAACCTTATTCGCTAACGAAAGGTGTTTCTAAATAACTTAGGCTGCTGAGAAACGGATATTACCAGAAACGTAGCACCAGCAGTTTTAAGCAGTGGAGGATTTATGAGCTTCTGTTTTTTTACTATATGTCTCATGCTCCTAAATGTGAAATTTCAAGGTTCTTCTTGCTTACCAATATCTATTAAGGGTTACAAGCGAAAACATCGTAACAAAAACATCGTGGGCGAAAGCGACGCGCAATAACAATGCAAGGCGAAAACGTCGTAGTAAAAAACATCGTGGGAGAAAAGCAAGAGAAAACATCGAGTTCCGAAACATCGTAGCACAAAACATCGCCGTCGAAAATAAAGTGATTAAAAAACTTTGCAGTTTAAAAGCACAGTCATAAAAAATATCGAGGTAAAAAAGCTTTTATAGCTTAAACTAATAAGCTTTTCATAAAAAACTCAGAAGAAAATTGAAGCGTTCAAGAGTTGTAAATGAATAGAATATTGATGTTACTTATAGCAGTTAACAGAATTTCAAGCTTACGTAATTAACTAATAAAGGTCATTAATTAATTAGTTTCTTCAATAAATATTTATTGGTATAATCTAAAAAAGTTCGAAAAAGAAGGAATAGTAACTGCACGAGGTTACCTCTATTAAAATTCTTTCATTAACTATCAAATTGTAAAATTATTTTCTTTCATCTTTGTTAATCTGAATTATTTTAATGAAAATTAAGCCTTGTTTTGTTTCAGCTTATTCGTCTTCTTAAAGTATCATTAACGTTGCGTTGTACAGCGTGCAGTTTATCCTTTGACTATCGATTTGTTAGTTATGACTAAACATGTCAGCTGTAGAATATTTCAGTAAGGGATTTAAATTTTATTAACTGCTATGAGTAGCATTAATTTTCTACGCATTTTCAGTTTTTGAATGCACAAGTTTCCTTCTTAATTTTTCAGCAAAAATTTATTAGTTAATTCAGAAATATGAAATATAAAAGTATTCCTCATTCCTTCTTGGGCACACTAATCATGCGAATATGCATTTACAAATTTTAAAACCTGAAAAAGGCATATCTATGATGTTATCGTCATGCGATGACTTTAACGTGCTTTCCTTTTTACCTCAATATTTTCGCCAACGTTTTTAAACTGCGAAGTTTTTGAACAGCTTTAATTTTCAACGATGATGTTTTGTGCCGTGATGTTTTAGACCTGCGATGTTTCCTCCTTGCTTTTTTTCTGTCACGTTTTGCACGACTTTTTCTCCTTGTGTTGTTTTCTCTGCTTAAGCAACACTGGCATGGAATACTGCAGATACATTAGGAGTTTATATTCGGACTGCAGTCTTTAAATACTGAACAGCGAATTTTATTGGCGGAAGAAATAAACCAAGAGAAATGTAAACTTCTAAACACTACGCATACTTTTATTACTAATCCGCGGAAAGAAAAAAAATGACCACTGAATTTCTATTATCATTCCAACCGAAAGACTGTTTTTATGTGGATGAAATAGTTTTAAGCACCTGAACGGCATGAGATTTTTTTTTCATTTTGTACATAATAGCTTATAATTTAAGATATTATGAATAGTTACTTTCTTTAATGATGTAAATATTTTTAATGAATGTAAGTTTATGAAAATAAAGACAAAAATAAGTAATTTTATAAATTTAGTTAATAAATCCTGTTTAAATACACAGCAGATACAAAAATCCACGTCAGTAATACGAAGTGAAAATCTCTGACAATTGCAAATACTTTGACTAAGAGCTGGCATGGAGGAGGAAATCTGGAGTGCACAAAAAATGAATGAAAAAACTGTTGTTTTTTTCTTCTAGTGAAAATATTTGCTCTTCGATACTAAAAGACCTCAATTTACATTATGCTTACTAAATTTATTAAAATATATTAAACCCATACCTTGGTCATCAATCATCTGTCCTAAAATACACCACTTAAACAAGGACGGCCTTGAAATTTCGCAGTAAAGAGCACAAGAAATATGTTCGGGGGGGGCAGGGAGCTCATAAATCTTTCATTTCTCAATGCTACTGGTCGACAGATCACCTTTTCTGTTTCTCTGCAGCCAAAATTATTAAAGAAAAATCTTCCGATAGCGAATTAGATTTCCTAGGGGCATTTTCGATTCATAAAAATTTTTCACCTTTGGTTGATGATCCCAGATCTAATTCACATTTACCTTCAGATTTCTAAGAAATTATTTCATAGTCGCTTTCCGTTCCCGTTTTTGCCAACAGATGGCGTTCGTGGCTTTGAAGGAAAAAGAATGTCGGTATTTGAAGTAATAGGTTTCTTGGTTAATACAGATAATAGTTTAGTTTTTAACAAAATTCTAAAATTACAAAAATTGTATTTCTTTAGGTTTGTTAATGTAGACGGAAACATCTGCAAAATCCTCATTTACAATCTTACATATTTATGCTCAGCATTTATCAGACCTTATGAATGAATTCTCACGTATTATATCTTAAATCACCAATGTTAAAGAGACATGTTTAAAATAATCTCACTTTCACTAATTCTTGATACGAAGGAAATATTTTGAATGAACATCTCTCTGAAGAGTGTTTGCACTATCCTTTTCATTAAAATTTAAATTTTAAAGAAACTATTATACTACTTTCTGAAACTACTGCGCATTGAAATAAGAATACTGGAAGCTAAAATTCTGCTATGCTAAGTAAAAGAAAAACCAATAATTTCAAAATTTTACAGCTTTCTAAAATTAAATTAAGAAATCTCAATGGTATTTTTACCATTGAGCATTCGTAGCCATTTTCTCTTTCTATATATGAAACAAACGTTTTTTTACTATGTGAATATTAATATTTATTTTCATATTCTTATCACTCATAAATAATTTTAAATTTAAAAAGCAGCAGTGTCTATAGTATTTCAATGATATACACTGAATTATATAGAATTTAAGAAAGGATCTAGAAGTCTTTCTTTCATTAACGTAATTTATTTTTTTTAAATGCTTTTATTATACATACCATAAGCAAATATATAATACAGTTTTATAGATAAAGTAGATCCTCGTTGGAAAACAAGAATGACCATTCTGTAGAGGTGGTACCCTTCGACCAGCATCCAGCAGAAAGCAGATAAAATCCAAAAGTGAAGCAAACCAGCAATTACTGCACATAAAATCTAAAAAACAATAATATTATGGTGTTATTTATATTTCTGTCAATATACTTTACTGAATATAATACATAAGCATGTTTAATTAAAGACTGTTTTTAATTTCTTGTAGAAGTTATCGTTAACAAATTTACATGACTCTTTCTTTCCAGCGACAAAAAAATGAAATTGGCAATTCTTATAAAGATTATTTGGAAATAAACTTGTTGGTTTAAATACAAGTAAAACTGAGAAAGAGTACCATTCGTCATTGTGGAAATGATAGGGCATCGAAATCATATCCAAACTCTTCTGAACAATGTCATATATGCAAAAATTTTATCCCAGTTGATTACGCAGAGGATTCAATGCCTTTTTAATTCCTCTAACTGAAACTTTAATTCTTTATTTTAGCTCTTTTAAATTCTTAATGTAAAGGCTAACTATCGAGTTTGCATAATTTACGCCAAGTATTTGGTAAAAAAATTAATTCTGTGAAAGATTTCATTGAATACAATAAACACAAACTTTTTTTGTTCTCTGTTTTTATTTTACACCGCTGAAAAAAGGAACAGAAGTGAAAAGAAGTATTATCATATGATCAATCATAGTTACGAAGAATTGAAAACATTTTTGGGGTTCGCCATTTGTATACTAATTAGGTAATGCAAATGTATATAATAAAGAATAAAATACACATTTATTTTTAACAGAACTGAAAAACCTGTAAGTTGTCTTTTCATTTTTGTTCATATCTGACCGTTACACTTTTCATTTACAGTATAGACCAATATAAATGCTTGTTATTTAAAATTTTTATAAAATAAATACATATTTATGAGTGGCTAGTAGCTTTTTAAAACATGTGAATTTAAAAGTGAATAAAATTGAACTGATGATAGTAATATTTTATGAAATTTTATTTATTTATACAAGATTTCTCGAATTTTAAAGTTCTTACTTTATTGTGAGTTTGATCCAGGCCAAAAATTACGAGTAGATTTGTGATGAGGAGAGAAAAGCATAAATTACCAGTGATGATGCTTCTTCTGCCATGTAATGACCTGAAAGTTAATTTCGCACCTGAAAGTACTTTTTCTAAATGTCAAAACTGTGTACAGCACATTAAAATTTGAGATAGCTTAAGTGAAGCATTGTATCGTGCTCCACAAAAGAATAAACTTTGCATAAAAGTGAAAAGAATGAACAATTAAAGAAGAATAAACATTTTTAAAAACTATGTAAAGAAAAAAATTTTTTTGGGGGGATGAAGTGTTTTTGAACGAGTTCATACCTTATACTCAGGAAGCAAATTACAGTTAAAATTAGCGTCAAAGAAGAAATTCCGCAGCACACGTATGTCATCATTGAAAGAATCTGATCTTCTTTAATCTGAAAATAAAAACGTGAATGATTTTTGTACAATCAGAAAATTTCACTGACTAAGAAATTTTACTACAATACACTCCCGATTAATCTCGATAATAAAGAGGATAAAGAAAACGATTAAGTAAAATCAGAGTAAACTGAAGGCAATTTGACACAGGAAAAAAAAGCAACGAAAAAGTACTGGTAAGAGTTTATCTGTATTTTTAAAATAGATTAATCTGCAGACTAAATTTACTTACTTAGAGAAACTAAATCAGTATTCAAACCAAAGCGAACACGCAATAAATAACAGCAGAGTAAACGTCATTAGAAATGAAGAAAATGAGATATTAATGACATTAATTATACAGTACTTACGACAGAACTTAAAATTCAAATTCACATAAAATAGTGGGTTAGAGTTATAAGGTATTTTTCCTGCTATCCAAGCGTCCTTCGTGGTGTAGTGGTTCTGCACACTGGGCCGGTATTCCAGAGGTCCGTGGTTCGATTCCCGGCGAAAGCGGTTGCTATTTTTCATCTTCCTTGCTTCCAAAAATATATACCTAATGCTTTTGCAGAGTTTTCAGTTTTTTGGCAAAGTTTTCGTTTTTTAAAAACTGTCGTCTTGCCTATCTATGCATACGTTAAGACAAAAATAAAGCAAAATTATTTCAAATAATATCACTGATAACCACAAAAAATACTTGACAGTGACATAATCAAAGCCCAAATTAACATGCGTAGGTAACGAAAATTTTATGAAAATTTCTAGGATGAAAGAGGAAAGCCAATATTTTGAGCCCTGCCAATTATTGTAAAGGCCCTGTTGCTTGTTTCTGTTCATATTACTCTTGTATTTTAGTACGTGTCAAAGTGGAATACAAGATTAATACCTATACGCTTGATTTATTTTTGCAACTGAGCAATTACATTTGAAGCATGATATAACATTTATAAACATTTATAAAAATTACCAAGAGCTGCTGCTCCAAAACGTTCAACACGTTTTAAAAAAATTAATACATATGAAAATCACCATTAGACAAGTAAAACATTAAAAAACAGAACAGATAAAATGTTACGGAAATTGGTAATTAGCCCATTCGACTTCCAAACTGGCTTTTCAGGGGAAATTTCATTTATTTGAACGTCGAATCAACTAACCCCATTACGCCTTTTCGCCGAAACAACAATTGATTTTCGCTACAAAATTTTTTTTAAAATTTAGACAAAGTGTCTTGAAAATTTTAATAGTCTCAATTCTCTGTTCCAATTTCCCGACGCGTCCGCACAGAATGAAACATTAAGGTGTTATTCCACACAGCGAACATTTAACTCCCAGGTACTATAACATCATCTGTTACCGCTGTCGTTATTCCATACATTTTTCCTTTTCGTAATTTTCCTAAACAGTTTGATTTACTCCGAGGGTTTGGACAGTCATTTTTTCATCGTTCCGCAATAAACAAACTTATGATATTTTTAGATTAGTCCGGTTAATCCGCTTCCGATCTACCGGGGTTCTACTGTACATCTAATTTATATTTAATTGTGATTAAAATGCGCAAATTAAACGTCCTTTTAAAACAAAAATTGAAACTAGCTTTTAATAAGGGAGTAAATTTTATTAAATGTTATAATGCAAAACTGAAATTTGTATGATTATAGTAAAATCTTCAATAACAAAAAGAATCGTAGGAATAAAACTTTCATGGCAAATGAGATACCATCACATACATATGTCGAAAGTTTAAATTAAGATCAGAAAATAATTACCATATTAGGAAAATCAGAATTAATACAAAAACTCCCTAAACCTAATAAATATACAGTTCTAACTGAGTAAAGCAATGATGTCACAACTAAAGCAAAATGCCACAAGTCATGTAATTTTGGAATTAGAAAATACCCTCCCCCGAAAAAAAAAGCTATGAAATGCGCAATTAACCCATTTATGCCCAATGGCTAAAATATGAGGCGCTTGGAAATTACTGTGTAGGAAATCTTTTAGTGCATATATCTTTTAACCAAAGCAATTTTTCATGCGCTATCATCTTACTGTTAGCAAATCATGGAACCACTAGATGAACATTAAAATTATTTTAGAACAAGTTACTTTTATAGGAAACATTCTAGCACCGACAAATGATGGGTAGCTACAGGAAGTAACTATGTTTTGCAAACTTCTTATTCATAAAACTAAAAAAAAATTAAAATGATTTCCTTAAAATAGATCACAAAAATCTTCTGCAAGGTTATTTTGCAAAAATAACAATATCAGTTTTGTGTAATTACGTTTAATCTTTGGCGTCCTGTTTATGAGACACTGGGCATTTGCGAGTGCATTAAGCCTAAAATATTTTACTGATTTTTCAATAACCTAAACGCATTTTTATTCGAAATATATATGTTTTATGCGCTAAAACTTCAAAATCTATTCTCTTATTACTATTATTGTACATAAAATGCTTAAATTCTGTAATATTTGCTAAAATATATTTGTGTGTATAGAAAATATATTCGTAAAATTGTGAAAAAAATTTATTTTTAATTTTTTCTTGAAATGTATTTTTCAGATTACACATATTATTGAAACAAAAACATGATTTATATTATTTTGTGCATACAAAACAAATTCTAATTGTTGTTTACTGGAAAACTTCGATCAATTATTTCAGATACTTAACTTTAAATTAAGCAAATATCCATTTACGATAGCAATAGTCAATTACTTTACTTCCATAAAGCTCACTGAGGAGTTGTCAAAGTCTGGATTTGCGGTTGTAGGTGCACCCAGAGAAAACAGGATTGGAAACTATCCGGTTGAAACCGTTAAAAATCTGACAGAAAAAAGAAAGAGGTACTATCGATTATAGGAAAGAATGTCTTTTGGTGTAATAATTGTACGCTCGAAAGACAAGAGTGTTAGAAGAGTTTCAAACTGTACTGAAGTAAACCCATTAGGTTCAACCAAACGCTGGTCGGCTTCTGAGAAAAAGAAGATGGTAATTATTACATACAGCCAGTTTATGGGAGGTACCCATCGAATGGATGATAGTACTTCAAATTATCGTATTGGATTCCTTAGAAAGAAATGGTGGTTTCTACTTGCCATGCTTTTTGACTGCCATGATGATTGTTTTTAATACCATGTTTAATGGCTTGTTTTTTTTATTGATGTTAAAGTTTCGAATACAGGTGTATTCAATTCAAAATTCATGGCTCATCTATCGCATGTTTTGCAAGAAACAAGACACAACGGATCAACTAGAATTTTACAGCAGCATTTCACAGAACTGTCTCAAACAATTTGGAGTGCTTCCGAAGAACAATCACTTCAACAAAGATGAGTAAACATGTGACAATGAAATTTAATTCGACCAAATTGGGCACACAATTGTAAACACAACTAGGTAATTAAAACACAACTGCAATGTACTCAGTGTTCAGGAAGACCACAAGAAAATATGAAAAATATAACGTCGGACTGCATGACAAACGCGTTCAACAATTTCAGGAAAAATAATTGTTTTTGCATTTCTATTGTTTATAATATGTAAAATAATAAAATGTTCTTAAAATTTATTTGTATTAACCTTTACTTATTATTAATGATTTGCAACACTGGAAGTTTCAAATACGAATACAGGTGTATTTTGCTTACACGTATGCCCAGTGTCCCATAAAAAGGACGTTAATTAACTCAGCAAATATGGCAATCATGATCACTTTGACTCCTAAAGTGTATTTATATCTTTCATATTAAGCGATATAGGTTCATTAATAATGAATAAAATTGCCAAAAAAAAACCTGGGCATAAACGAGTTAAGGTAATACAGATATCTTCGCAAAATAATTCTAGCATAATGTTATTTTCAATCAGGATGTGAAAGTGCAAAACAATGCTGTGCAACTAATGCCAGGAATTGTTATTTTAATCGGTTCAAATCGAATAAGATAAGTTAGAGTTCAAAGGGGTCCTCCTGTAAGGATTTTGCATCTGCTGCAGCTTTGAACTGAAATTTCTTGACCTACACAGAAGTGTCGCGAACTCTAAATTATCGAAACCGTTTAAAATTTCTTTTTACTTTTTTTTTTCCCCTCGTAATTATAATTAACGAGATGCTTTTATGCATCATTCTCCACAGAACCCTCATAAAATTTTATCTTCTTAAGAATTTCCAACGTGGAATTTTTTCCCATCACCATTTTACTGTGAGTCTGAAACATTGAACACATTTATTCTAAGCGAAATTAAAAGATACGCATTTAAAATTGCGCATTATCATTTTTACTCGCATATTTCTCCCCATCGCGTAATTTTCCTCCGTATATTTTTCAGCACATGATTTAGAAACCTCTGTGCATAGTACAGGGTGCGACAGCGTTCATAGCGTAATTTGACTAGCGTAGCACAATGACGTACTGCATGGATGCGCGCCAGCTCGTGCCGCATTCGTGTACTAATGAGCTGCCATTTCGAGTGTGACCGTGATATTATCGTTGTAGTGCACAGCATCGTGCCTTTGCTGTTGAAAGTTATTCAAGAATAACTACTCTTGTTTATTGCTATCCAGCGTCTATTTCGCGCAACACTTTCAAAACTTTGTGGACGTGATGGGAAAGTTCCAGATGGACGGACCTTGCGACAGGACCTTTTCCAGGTAAGTAATTCCCGTTTTGGTGACATTTTCCTAGCGCGTTCTTGCTCACCCTGACTTTCATTGCCGACTTTTGGGGGACACTGAAGCAAGAAGTTTTCCGAACACGTTGTGCCACCGTTCCTGAGTTTAAGATGGCATCCGAACTGCCGTTCGGGACTTCCAGGGAATACGTTACGACGTCGAGTTATTGCAAGCTTCCAAACGCCCCTAGATGATTTTTGGCAGAGGGGGCATCATATTCACAAAAAGTATCCACGCAATGGGCAATGACTACCACATTAGTAATGGCATACCTTCAACTAGTAATTGCATAAGGTAATAAATAAAACAACCGTTACTCTACTACTGCCCTTATG